GAGGAGCTACCAGCTCTATTTTTAGAAACCACTTGTTGGATTTATGTGGCAATAGCAAGCTGCTTCTCCAGCTTGGAGATTTTATCTTGCAGCTTGCTGGAGTTCTGCCCCTCAAGTGCGTCGCTGTACCGAGGTGCCATCTCGGCCACAAAGGCCGTAGAAGAAACTGTTGCCACCATGAGGCTCTGGATCACTTCGTGAGAAGTCAGCTTCTCCGTAAACTCTACATCCCTCGGAAAGTGGGAGAACATAACTAGCTCCTGTGCCGCACGAGGGTGGGTACACCGATTATTGATTGAGAGCTGCTAGTTCGGACACCAGTGCTCACCGGAGTGCATCTTGTCCCTCCCGGGAAACCGAGGTGCGCTATAAAAATGGTTCCACAACGAAGACCCCATGATTGGCATGACCGAGGACCTCAGTTGCTTGCCTCCGCCATGAGGAGGAAGTGCGATTGTGACCCCTTGAGTGGCCACCCCTTCTGTGGAACAGACGAGGTGGATTTGGTGGCCGCCGCAGCCGAAGCGTTCTTTGCCACTGAGGTCTTGACAGTTGATGCTTGGATTGCCTTCTTTTTCGGTGGTGGTGCCAAGGTTTCCCTCGAAGTCTTTCTTTTTGGCCTCTTGACCACGGCCGCTGAGCCGGAAGTGATAATGTCAGAAACTTTCACCACTGCACTAGAAACAAACATTATTATTTAGAATAGCCCAAGAAAAGACCTAGACTATGAAAGAAAATTTACAAGACTTCTGAAGTCTAGTAGAAAAGAATGGTGTCTTCTCAGGGTCAATGATAGCTCGGCTGATTCCCCCGTCAACTAACACCGCCTCGGGATAGTTCCAACTATAGATTCTGAGGCCCGACCCCATTATCCTCTGAAAGCTCTCCTCGTCCAGGTCCTCCGAGGAAGGATTATTTTTTGCCTTCACGGGCCTCTATCAGAAGCCCCATGAGAAGTCCCCGGCCGAGACGAACATGAAGTCACGTTTCTAGTTCTTTATCGAGATGGGGGCGCCGACAACAAGTTTCGAGATGGTGTTGTTCCAATGGTAGAAATAGAACTGCCCTTTTCGCTTCCGTGCCTCTTGATGGTGTAGCATTGGCGGAAGAGGTTGATCATAGGGGCCACCTCTTGTTCTCGGCAGAGCATTTCAAACCCCAACAATATTCGAATCGCGTTTGCAACGAACTAAGTTATCCGAACTGTGAAATACCAAAGTACGTCTCGAAAAAACCTCGTGGTGGGCATCCTGAGCCTCGCCTCTTGCTGCTCCATGTAGATGGCTACGGAGCCCACTAGGGGCCTCTCGGCTGTGTGGTTCGGTCCAAGTGTCTCAATATTGTACCCCTTTCTGAAGGGGTACTTCCGCAATATCCTATTAGCCTCCGCCATGCCGATCCGGCTTTGATACGATGAAAGATGGCCGAAGTCAATGGCAGAGAGATCCTTGAGACCAACTGGCTCCGCCATTTCCTCATCACAAGGGACTTCGGTTCCGAGTTCGTCATTGTAGAGAACCTCCGAGCTCCCCTCGCTCGCCTCGGGAGACTCGCTCACTTGGGAGTTCTCGGCGGATTCTCCCCCTGAGCTGGATGTTTCTCCCTCGAAACTGGATGAAGTGCTATCCTCCGGTAGGTCGGGCCTCTCGTCGGCTTGGAAGCTCGGTTTCACAGTCTTCTTATGCGTCTTAGCCACTTTAGCCATGGCGAAGATGAGATAGAGGGAGAGTACTTACTGTTGGTTAAGAAGATGTGATCGAATGAAAAGGAGATCTCGGCTATCTCTCGGCAATGCTCTCAAGTATGCAAGAGTCTGGCTGCAAAGAAGGAAAATGGTGAAGAATAGTGATGTGAAAAGGACCCCCTATTTATAGGGGTTGGTGGGAATGCGAAAAAGCGGCAAGAATCCAAAGGGACGGCAACATTAAATTTCAAAAAGACGTGCCCCTCTCTCCTCATTAATGATCCGTCCTTTCCATTGACGCATTCCCCCGCATGTAACCTCCCACTACACCACGTCGCACCAGTTACCCGTAACCGTCTTATCTATCACGTCCCTTCAATCGACTCGCCCACGGGTCATACCCCATCATTATCCGGAAAAAGTTCAAATCCCCGGATCTGAACGATCCCGGCACATGGAAGCCTCGGAATCTCACAAGCCTCTGCGCTTCCGAGACTTGGGGGACTTATTGAGGATGTCACCTCGGGGTTTGTCTTATCCGAGGTTATGTCACCTCCTCCGTCACCGTAACCGAGAACGTGTCTGGCATCCCATCTAGGTTCCACGCGGGTGATGTCTGGCTACCTGACACCACACTCAAAGCCGTTGCTTTATTTGAAAAGCTACTGATACTCTTAATGGCGGCCGCACAGTGCCGCCTGTCAGGAGGCCTAGACTGTTGTTGTGTCAGAGACAGACCTCCAAGTGTAGAACAGAACCGTAGTATTTGGGACATGGGACCCGCTAGCATGAACCCATCGTCTTGTACTATCCATTCCCACTCTATAAATACCCCCTATTCGCTCCTCACAAGTAAGCACACTGTTGCACTCATACTATTCATTACTCTTCATTTTCTCTCAATTTACTGACTTGATTGTCGGAGTGATCCCAGGGGATGAAGCCCCACCTCTCACTCCGGAATATCAACCTTATCTCCGCATCACAACACCGAAAGAGGGAGTTGAATTAGGTCGGCTTGACTACCTAACCAGAAATCACCTCTTCATCTACTGAATATTTCCAATGCAATTTCTTAACTTTCTTAATAGGTGGTGGTGCTGGGGAGGAGGATGAAGGTTAGAAGAAATTGTTCTTTGCAACACAATTCATTCTTTTCACCTATCATTTTTCCTCATTTTCAGCAAGCGTGAGAATGAAGGAAAGACACAGATCCAGTTTGGGAGAACCAAACAATATGTGACTTTAGACCTAGGCTTGAGGGAGTCCATCTGAGGATGAAGGAGTCGACAATTAGCCGAGAGTGTGGAGAAAGGTAGCCGAGCGTAGTAATGCAACAACACTTCTGGCATCAGCTGCCAGAAAACGCTAGAGGTGATGCAATTAGGGGGATGAGGATTAAGGAAAGTGAGAGAGAGTCATGATTTTGTTGAAAAAAAATTGTTGACACATTATGATCAAATGGTGCTAGGCTTGCTGGCATGTCTAGATAAGTTGGAATAAAGACACATATATTTACTATCTCGAAATTAGCACGAACCGTTTTATGCAATACCTAGTCTCTCCTGAAACTAATCTAGCAATAGTTACACTTAAAATGAATATGTGTTCATGTGTCATAGGGCTGTAAAAAAGCATGCAGCAAAGACAGAACGCCGCTAAGATACAATTGGCCATATAAGTGCCCCCCAAAGTTCATCTTATTTATGTGATAACCATCTCATTTTTACCATTCACAGCCTCATTCTTGCATTTGGTATGTGTTTTGAAATTCAGACTGGATGGTGATTTGGCCAAACTCAGGGGTTAATGGGTTTGATTGTGATCGGCTCCATCTAAAAATCGGATGAAATCATCATGATGCATGAATATATTTGATTTTAAAAATTAATATACTGTGTAAAATTTTTAAAAACATATTGGCTCCGTATGAATTAGATATTTTTGGAGATATATTTTGAGATATTTTTTGAATTTAAAATTTTAGTGGGGTATCTTTTAAAATTAAAGAAAAAAATTTCACCACCCATCATCCTTCCCCTCCTACCTCTTCCATTGCCGCCACCCGCATTTTGCTGCATCAATGCCTGTCAGTTTGCTCTCATACTAATGGTGGCTGGCAGCATTTTTGTATTTGTGATCTTTCTTTTCTTCTCTACAGACACATCATCGATGATATACTTGTTTTGAAAACTCAACCAGAGTATCTCATAACAAAATTAACACACTATTAAGGGAGCTTGAAGTAGAAGAAGCAGCAAAAGTGGATAATGTATGTTTGTTCTAATTGTTCTTCGGTGCCATTTGAAGGGATAGTGCGTGTTGTGTGTGAAAAATCAGGAAGAAATGGTTAAAGCTTTAAGTTTTCCAATTTTGTTTCTTTTGGTAGCGCCAAGATTGCATTTGAAATATTAAAGTTGTTGCTTTGAATTGGAAGAAACTATAAACCACACAGCAAAAAGAATTGGCCTAGATGAGGAGGGAAGGGAGGGGAGAGGGTGATGGGGGAAAAAAGGAGAAGAGAAGGAAGGAAGGAGCAAGGAGCAAGGAGGGAGGAAGAGAAGAGGAAGAAAGAGGAAAAAGAGGGAGAGCAATGAGAGAGAAGAAGGGACGGGTGGTTTGGTAATGGGTGGCAATGGTAGGTGGTGGTAGTGTTAGGTGGTAGTCGGTGAAAGAAAAAAGAATGAACACATTTTTTTATTTATTCATTCATTTATTTTTATAGTTGTATTTGAGTTTGTGTGTATTTTGGAATTATTTTTGGAATGTTACTGTAGATTTTAAAAACAAAAATAACTTTTGGAAAAAAAAATTGATATCCATATAGAGCCATTAATGTGTTTGATATTTCTAAAATATTTCACAAAAAAACACAAATAAAATAATTTTATCAAGTAGCAATCTATACAATTTATTGCATACTCAACAAATTTAGAATTAAATTGGTGGGTTTATTTGAAAAGTAATCCTAGAATTTAAGACTATAGTTATAAATTACAATTATTTCTAGGTGTAATAGTTTTCTAACATAAGAGGTCTAAAGAGGTATACATTGCATGTATGCCACGTGGTCATCGAAACTGTCCCAACTTGATATAAACTAAATTGACCTCAAACTTGAACCTTAAAGATAGGATATGCTTCTAACTTTTTAAAGATAAGGGTGATCTTACTTGGTAAATAATAATGGCTATTCTAATTTATCTTAAAAGGATGGAAATCCATTATCTGAACCAATGTCTATCCAACCATATAGAAATCTTCTATCTCATTATCTTTTATGTAGAGCTACAACCCTAAAGGTGAGGAATTTCTTTTAGATATATAACACCCACTCAGAAACTCATTTTTTCTGCTCAGTTAGACTTTGAGGACTTGACCCCTAGGCTCCTCATAGATTGGTCCTTTCCTTGCAAGTTTCTTACAGAGTTCTGCCTTCATGTGGTCGAACTCTTTCTTTACTTCTCCAGTTTAGATTGGTAGAAGGAAATACAACTTCAATAGGGCCAAAATAAAATATTAAAAATTATTTGGGCATTCAAATCTATTAAATAAGGAAACCTTAATCTTATGGTTTTCTTATTTCTTTGCAACTCCAAGCCGCTAGGAAGCATCTTTGATTGAAATCAAACACACTCGCACACACATCCCTTTCAAAGGTATGAATTCTTATCTCTCTTGCTTAATATCTTCCTCTCTCTCTCTCTCTCTCTTCTCTCTCTTGCTTGCTTGCTTTTTAACTAATTGATTTTAAGGATTTACTTGTCATGCTGGCGTTGTAAGATGGAGGCCATGGTGACAAATTCACAGCATGGCTGGTGTTTGGTTTTATGATAGAGGATGAAATCAAGTTAAAAAGAAAAAAAATCAGCACAAAAATAGGAGGAAAGAGCACCCTAAGTTTGCTTCTTGTGATTAACAAAACAAAATGAGTGAAGTTGTGTCTAGACGAGTAAAGGGTTGTGTCTAGACGAGTAAAGGGTTCGTTGTAGTCAAAGAAAAGGGAGGAAACGAAAAAAAATGTCAAAGAATCAAAAATGAAAAAAAGCCAATTACTGTTTTTTTTTGGTTGAACCCGGTTATTAATTGGTTTGACCGAATATTAAATAAGTGTATTTAAAATATTGCTCAGACCAGACATCTCATCGGTTCTCGATTCGACCGGTTGGATCCACTGGTCCAGTCCGCGTTTTTGTGTTGTTATGATATGGCGTATATATATTATTACAAATTAAGCGCCTAGTCGCCCCAACAAATTAATCCAACGTCCCCAGAAAGCTGTATCTGAATCTTTTTATGCTAGGAACCATGACGGACTGGACTTTCCCGTACCTAAATGCTGCTATTGTTGGACTGCTTGCTTTCTCCTTCTTCGTTGTCCACTTTTTCTTCAAGAAAGATGCCAAAAAACATGGTTTGGTACCACCAGAAGCAGGCGGTGCATGGCCTATTATTGGCCACCTTCACCTCTTAGGAAGAGGTCCAGAAAAGTTTCCCCACATAACCTTGGCAGCCCTGGCCGATAAATATGGACCGGCATTCACTATCAGGCTAGGAGTGCATAAAACCCTTATTATAAGCAGCTGGGAACTAGCAAAGGAAATATTCACCACCCATGACTTAGCTGCAGCAGGGCGTCCGAATTATTTAGCAGGTAAACTCCTAAATTATGACAACGCCGCTTTGGGATTCGCTCCTTACGGTGCTTATTGGCGAGAAATACGTAAGCTAACTGCCACCGAACTACTCTCCACTAAACGCCTTGAGCTCCTCAAGCACCTCAGAGTTTCTGAAACTGAGATTTCCACAAGAAATCTTTACAATCTCTGGAATTCTTCATCAGGCTCAGGCCCTGTTCTGGTGGAAATGAAGCAGTGGTTTGCGGACTTAACTCTAAACGTGATCCTTAGGATGGTTGTGGGGAAAAGGTTCTTTGGGGCAGTAGATGTTAGCAAGGAGGAAGAAGCAAGGTTGTGCCAAAATGTGATGAGGGAATTCTTTCATTTAACTGGGTTGTTTGTACTGGCAGACTCTGTTCCTTATCTGAGATGGTTGGATTGGGGAGGGTATGAAAAGAAAATGAGAGTAAATGCTCAAGAGATGGATCAGCTAGCCAACCGATGGTTGAAAGAACATCGTCAAAAGAAACAGTCAGGGGAGGCCACTAGTGATCACCGGGACTTCATGGACGTCATGCTGTCACTCAAGGAAGCTGCAGCTATTGCCGCGGTTGGTGGTTACGATGCTGATACTATCACCAAAGCCACTTGCACAGTAAGTGAATTATTTATACTTTTTAATTTTTCTTATTCTTATTTTGTTTTTTCACAGCTTATCAATATCTAGAATATTAGTAATTTTTTTAAAAGAAAACTGCAAAAGAATTCAAAAAATTTGCTGCTTTTTGGGCTTGACAGATTTTGATTTCTGGTGGGAGTGACACCACTTTAGTTGCGCTAATATGGACACTGTCTTTGATAATGAACAACCCTCAAGTCTTGAAGAAGGCTCAAGAAGAACTAGATCTGCAGGTTGGCAAGGGGAGGCGAGTTTCAGAGTCAGACATTAGTAATTTGGTCTACCTCCAAGCTATCATCAAAGAAGCACTACGACTATATCCACCTGAGCCATTGGGGGGCGCCAGAGAATTGAGGAAAGACTGTATTGTAGGTGGTTATCATATCCCCAAAGGCACACGGGTAATCCTGAACATAAGGAAAATCCAGCGAGATCCCAACGTGTGGCATGATGATCCATTGGAATTTAGGCCGGAGAGATTCCTCACCACTCATAAGCATATTGATGCAAAAGGATATCACTTTGAGTTGATCCCGTTTGGTGGTGGTAGAAGAATTTGCCCCGGCATTAATTTTGGGCTACAGATATTACACCTTGTCTTGCCTAATTTGCTGCATGCTTTTGAACTGTCAACTCCTTCGAATGAACCGGTTGACATGACTGAGAGCGCCGGATTGTCAAACATGAAAGCCACTCCGCTCCAACTCCTTGTTGCTCCGCGCCTACCTCATCATCTTTACTAGCAACTCAGCATGGGAAGATTCAACCAATGTTCTCTAGTGCTAGTGCTTGAAATGTTTATTGAGGAATCGAATAATGAAAATGGATAGAGACTCCTCATATTTTGTATTGAAGATGTTTTGCATGTGTTTATCAGAATCTATTTGACCTGCCCTAAATTGTAGAAAAGAATAGTAAAGCCCATTATAATAGTGCTAAGGATTAAACACACAGCTTTTGAAGAATTAAAAATTCAAACACACACCCCTTTAAGTAGGAGATTGGCAAATATTCAAGAATTAAAGATTCAAACACAGCTTTAAGTTCGAGCTTTTCAAATATGAATCTGGCAACCACCTTTGCTATATAGCTGCCAGTTCCGTAGATCCCATACTAACAGTAGTAACTGGCAATAGTAGCAAAAAAAAAAAAAAAACCAGTTTGGGAAGAAACAAGCGTAAATGGTACAAGCTTTCCTTTTTCTTTATTGTTTTTTTCCTTTTTCAGGGAATGGGTGAGGCACAAACTTGTATCTTAACTCTCTGAAATGGTTTTACCAGAGGAGTTATCTCATGCCAAGTAATATTTTTTAGATTTTTGCCTCAAATTTAGAGAGATGCCTTTTCATATTACCTAGAGGTTCAGTCATGTATTTGCATATACATGAACTTAAAGATTCATATCTATTCATTCTACTTTCATTTACTTCTAGATTCATGTACCTTGGAATTTATTAGTTCATTCATCGAATAGTGAACTAATGAACTTCAAGAGAATCATTTGGTGCCAACACAAATTAGTTCAGTTGATAAGGACGAAATACTTATAAAAAATCATGTATTTAAATTTTGTTGCTGATAGAAAGATTGCATTGATTGACGAATCATAATGATTCCTATAAGTGATCTATGGCTTTGTAGGCAATGCCCTGATTATAAGTGACTTACGATTTTGGAAACATGTTCTAACCATGATGGTAATCAGAGATGAAATCACTCAAACTTTTTCCTACCAAAAAAAAAAAGAAAAAAAGAGAGAATCATTGGGTGTACCGGTCATACCAGTCGACACACTTGACTGCCAGCATAGCTTTAGATAAACTATTTCAGTTGATATAATTCTTATTACTTTTGGTATAAACTCCCATAAACTTTGTTTTTTGTTGTGATTTTTACGCCAATTTATTTGTATAAGTTGCTAAAATTCATGCTTACTCCAAAATTATACTATTTCACATCAAATGAAATAGAACTTATGTAAGATAGAACTATACAAAAGTTCAACTTAAGAGGCCACTGATCCAAGATTCCTAAATTTATCATTATTCTATCTCCTTGTCTTTATGTTTTATCATTACAGTTAATGCAGCCAAAATCCCTAAAAAAAAAACAGTATGACACATTTGAGTGTGTCCCGTGCTATGCACGGGTTTATATCTAAGATAATAATAATAATAATAATAATAAATGAATTATTATAATAGTTACATGAAAAAAAGATTAAAAATTCAAAAGAGTACTATTTGAGTATCTAATTTATCCTGTATTTATATATCTTATCTAAAACCTTAAAGTATACTAAAAAACATAGAAAAATATCGCCAAGATAGTTTCACGAATATTTAAGATCCTAAGCTATAGAAAGTAATGATTAGCAGAATTTTATATATGTATGTGATTTCAAAAGTTACAGTTAATGCAACCAAAATCCCTCAAAAAAAAAAAAAAAACAGTATGACACATTTGAGTGTGTCCCGTGCTATGCACGGGTTTATAGCTAAGATAATAATAATAATAATAATAAATGAATTATTATAATAGTTACATGAAAAAAAGATTAAAAATTCAAAAGAGTACTATTTGAGTATATAATTTATCCTGTATTTATATATCTTATCTAAAACCTTAAAGTATACTAAAAAACATAGAAAAATATCACCAAGAAAAAGCACACTAAAGACAACATTATTATTTCTCTCTTACATGTTCTCCCTCTTCGTGCCATTTTCCCCACCTCACAATCCCATCTCCTCAATACTCTCAATCCTATTTTTTCTTTGCTCTACCCGAATTTCACCCAATTATCCTATCTTTTACCTAATTTTGCAGCCCACTTGTCTCCTATCTTATTATTATTTCCATCGATCTATTTATACCCCTAAATGGTAACCTATTTATTTGACTCACTCATTAACAAATAGGTTTGCGTATGTAATTCAATTGAATTCAAATGGATGACCCAATTAAATTCATTAATTAGTGGATATTAAATTGATAGATTTGGATCACTTATTTTGACCTAATTAAATTAGATGTGGATTCAAACTCAATCATTAGTGGGTAAATCTAAATCACTGTAATAATTATATTCTAATTTTTGTAAAGACAAATAAATAATTTTTTCCTTTTCTTCAATTTCTATTCTTTATTTTTTAAAATTTTATCCTACTTTCTCCATTCCTTTCATAAAAGTCTAATAAATTTCCAACGTGCTAATTGATTGTTTATATTAACACCTCAATTATTTTTAGAATCTTGTGAGTGACAAAATTTGGTAGTCACTATGATCATCATTTTAGGTTCCTTTGTGAAATTTTTAATGTTTTTTTCTCTTTCTACGGGTAAAAATTGATTTACTAACTTGTTATTTTTTTTTTTACAATGATATACCATCTTGTTGTTAAACAAAATGTGGAAGAAAAAGTACATAAAATTTAGTTGTGGGCTGGAAATGGGTAATTGGATAACCGAAATCAATCTTAAACTATATCTATTTATGATTCATGCATTTTGAACCATTAACTAAATAGGTATATATAGGTTAACCTAATTATAACTTGTCCAAATTCACATGAATATCCAGTTTGATAGCTCTCCCCCAAACTCTACCCTTCCCAACTCTACAGTCCTATCTTTCTATTCTTTTCACTATATAGGATTTGTTACCTCACTTTTTAAGTGTTCTAGGGATGTGAAAAGTTAGAATTATCTTTTCATTCCTCTCACTATCTAGGGATTCGTTACCTCATTTTTTAAAAGTGTTTTTAGCTAAATAAAAAGCCATAATTGCAATCATTGAAGAAAAGTAAGCTTTTGTGTGTAAGTTTGGTAAAACACTACCTATTTATCAAAACTTTAAGCTAAAATATGCCAAAAACAACTATCTAAATACACATTTATTGATTTAGAATTCATACATATTTTTTTTATATGTACTTTTGATGTATATGTGCTATATGAAGAATCATCTAGATGCTTGCATGATATTGATATTAAGTTTATTCTAAGTGCAAATAAAATTTCATAATTATTATTTACATATTCCAAATTTAATGTTAGAGTATAAATTTCAACATTAAAAATTTAGAACTTTAAAAAAACAAACCTAATAAAAAAAGTCCAACATAAAACATATAAAACTTAGAAAAAGTAATAGGGTGAATAATTTGGCTAGACAAATCAATCTTCACAATATCCATGAGAATTTGGCTAGACAAATCAATCTTCATAAAGATGTAATAGGGTGAATAATTTTAAAATGGGATTAATCAATTATCCCTTAGAGTTTGGCTTGACATATGTATTTTCTTTAATTAAGGAGTAAAACAAGTTTAAAGTTTGGATTAATCTTTCTTACACTGACAGTGTACACACTATCAATATTAGATGAATGACAATTATGCAAAATTTGAATTTGAAATTCAATTTTTGCACACATGTCATGAATCAAACGGTGATAGTGTATACACTGTCAGTGTATATAAGATTTCCTCTTAAAGTTTATATGACAAATTGTAAACTGTTTATGAAACACTTAGGATCCGTTTGATTTATGGGACAAGACAGGATTGGATTAATCATTTTGTATCATTCTATGTTTGGTTGTATTTTATACATTGAATAACACATCCCAATTAACTGAATTCATCCCCTATTCAAGGGATAAAATAATTCCATGGGGCAGGTCATATTAACATATAGGATGATAGCATTTTAAACAAATTTATCGTTATAAGTAATACGAATTTATACTCTTATAATTATACAACCCTACTCCCACATGATAATATACGATGAATGGATTAATTTGCCCCTACTAATTAATTTTAAAGTTTTTCTAACTAATTTGTCCCTACTACCAACATAACTATATTTGGACTAATTTGTCCTTATGAATGGTACAAATTCATACGGACTATCATATAATCATATTCTTACATAATAATATGATAATAAATGGATAAATTAGCCCCCACTAATTATATTAATTTTTTGACTAATTTGCCCCTATTCATTATTTTAAAATTTTCATTAATTTACCCCTAGTAATTAATTTAAATTCTGACTATTTTGCCCATATTAACATCATAATAAAAGGGCTATATTACTCTTGGATTAAATTACCCTTACCAAGTTTTGTTTTCTCAACCAAATTCTATATAAATACATAACCCTGTCAATTGGGATTTGTGAATGAGGACTTCAATAAGTCCAAGTTCGGTCTAAAGAAAAATCTTCTATATTGGCTTGACTTTGATTCATTTAAATCTCTTAAATGGGTTAGGTTCTAATCGATTTAACCCTAACTTAGCCAAAATTTGGCCCATTATTTAATTGAATTTTAAGTTTAGGTTCAATTACTCCGTCAAAATCTATTTATTTTAAGAGCCCGAATGGACTGAGTTCGAATGAATGGAAATTTTACTCTATAATTTTAAATTTTCAAACTACTCTATTTTAATAAAATTTGTAAACATTAAATTTTTATTAAAATATTAAAATATTTTATTAATTTTTATAAAAATATTAAATTATTTTATTACAAAGAATGAAATGGTATTTTGATCATTAAAATAGTAGTCCTACCTCATTGAATCTCCAACCAAACACATAATAGGATTATTTCTCAACATATCCTATCTAATTTAGAATCAACCAAATACTAAATAACTTGGATTAATAGTCCGAGAATGACTCAACCTAGGATTAAAAATTTGAGAATGAGCCATCCCATCTCATCCAATCCATGAACTGAATAGACCCTTAGTTGATTCATTGATAAGATAGTGGGAAAGTTTTAAATTTTAAATTTAGTTGGTGATAGGATTAGTTATAACCTAGTGTTTTAAAGTTTG